CCAGAAAACCAGAACGTTTATCTCAGAGTTTAGGTGGTCATTTTCTACACAATTCCACCACTGCAGGAAATGTCGTAGCAGGAAATGAAATTTGGTGATATCTCTCCTTTTCAAATAGATCTTAGGTGTCACACTGCTAAAAGAAATGAACATGCCTTGGAAAATGGTGTAAGAAATACTATCTTGATATAACAGCTGGGTTGGATACAAATTCAATCAGTGAGTATAGAGGCAGAGGTGTTTTCTGACGGAAAAGCAGACAGCACCTTGCCCACGTTATTCAAGGCTGCCTAATATCGCTGCATTTTTCTCCTCTATGGAGTCTTTTCCCTCTAGTCCCTCACCAGTATTGGAGCTCACAGAATGACTCTCAAGCTTCAGTCTCCCTGAAATTGAAGAGCAGCAAGATAATATTAGGTCGAATCTTTTTTTTTTTTTTTTTGCTGTGCGCGGGCCTTTCACTGCTGTGGCCTCTCCCGTTACGGAGCACAGGCTCCGGACGCGCAGGCTCAGCGGCCATAGCTCACGGGCCTAGTCGCTTCGCGGCATGTGGGATCTTCTCAGACCGGGGCACGAACCCGTGTCCCCTGCATCGGCAGGCGGACTCTCAACCACTGCGCCACCAGGGAAGCCATAGGTCGAATCTTTGAATGGAGTCACTTTCTATCGGCATGATATCATGGTCTGGTGTGTCCCTTGGGGATTTTAGCTCTTGGGCATGTATGAAATAACACGTCCAATCATTTTCCTTAGCTGCAGAAGACACGACCCGTAAATGGGGTGGTGGCTATTTAAGAAGCAAAGACGCCTCGCTCCGCCTCTAGAGCCCGACGACTTCGTTTCCCAGAAGCCCTCACGCGGGCACCTCTGATCCTTCGCAGAGATTCCCGGAAGGGCGCCCTTCGAGGTACCAGGTGGTGCTGCGGAAGCAATATTACCCAGGAGGCTCTGCGGCAAGAGGCGGTAGCTCCGGGCCAATGACTGTGCAGGACTGGGATCCCACGTTGGGCGAGACTTCCGGCGGAATTCTCGTGACGGTCGTATTGACTGCGCCTGCGTCTGTCCTCGGGATCGCACGCAGCTCCCGAGCCATAAGCGGGCTCGAGGGCCGGGAGCAGAAATTCTCGGGAAGAAGCTTCTTCCCCTCCCTGCACGGAGGCAGGGCTGAGGGTGGGCGGGGCAGGTTAGGGACGTCAGCTGAACCGTTGGGACCCTCCCTGGTCTCCTGTGTTGCAAGGCCCAGGTCCCTGGAAAGGGTCTCATGGCCGCGGCAGAGGCACAGACGGACCTGACACTGGTGAGTGGATGGCCCCTCAGGCCCTTTGGACCTCCAGACACATCATCCCGGCGCCCCCAAATAGAGCGAAATTTTCCTGGGTCTCTTCACTTCCCCTTACTCTGCCTTTGAGTCTGGGGGCCGTGGAGGCCGGTCAGTCAGTCCCAGCCTAGTGCCCTGAATCCAGGCCAGGATTTATATGGAAGAGTTCCCAACTCAGTTAATTGATGATCTGTGCAGGGGTATCCCAGGCACTTGAACCACTAGGTGAAAATGCAGGGAGGTGAGGCTGAGCTGGGTGGAATTGCGAATCTCCATTTTGCCTGTTGGGGACAGAGTGGCGAGAGAGAATTCAGGTCTGGAATAGCAGGCTGAGGAACGGGGTCTCTCTTTGGTTTTTTTTTTTTTTTTGTTATTTATTTATTTAGCTCTTTATTATTTATTTTTGGCTGTGCTGGGTATTTGTTGCTGCGCGTGGGCTTTCTCTAGCTGTGGCGAGCAGGGGCTACTCTTCATTGCGGTGCATGTGCTTTAGAGGTACTCAGAGGTGAATTATTCTTGGCCTATGGTCCTTAATCGAAAACGGGGATTGTGTGACGCACTTCTAATTTCTGGAACCAAATAGGATGAGGTAAGGGTTGCCAGGCACAAGAACTAGCATGTGCATATGCTTCGTTGTGGCACTGACCTGGGAATGTTCTAGAAACCACAAGTCTACACTATGTCTTTTGGGACGAGAGAGCAGGTGGGCAGGAATCAGCTGTGAAATGGCAAATGAGGAGCTGGGCCTTCTGAGGGTGGTGGGAGCCATGGACGGTTTAGAGCTGATGGAGGTGCCCTGATTCAGGTCATAACAAGCTCTCTCTGCCTACAGAACACACTGTAGGGGTGATTGTTTCCCTAGTATTCAGTCAGCTGTATTTTCCTCTGACAAGATCTAATGATACATATTTTTTTATTATTATCTTTTTTTTTCCATATGTGGGCCTCTCACTGCTGTGGTTTCTCCTGCTGTGGAGCACAGGCTCCGGACGCGCAGGCCCAGTGGTCATGGTCCACAGGCCCAGCCGCTCCGTGGCATGTGGGATCTTCCCGGACCGGAGTACGAACCCACGTCCCCCGCATCGGCAGGTGGACTCTCAACAACTGCACTACCAGGGAAGCCCCATATTTTATTATTTTTACTTTTTTCTAGATTTAATTTGCTCTATATTTTGTTAAGGATTTTTTTCACCTGTATTAATTAGGACTATAGTTCTGTAATTACTAATTTTTTGTAGTCATTACATTTTTATATCAATTAGGTTTTTCTCTTAAAATGAGCTGGAAAGCATCTGATCCTTCTCTTATTTTCTGAAAGGACAAGTTATTGTAGTATTATTTACCCTGTAAATGTTTTATAGAATTTGCCAGCAGTGTTTGATAATTTTATTGTTTTTGAACATATTTTATTCAATTTATTTCTAAATACTTCATATTTTGATGGTATTGTAACGGATTTCTTTTTTTCAATTTCCAAACTTTCATTGCTAGTATATGTAAACACAAGTAATTTTTGTATATTGGCTTTTTTATCCTGGGAACTTGCTAAACTCAATCATTAGACCTAATAGCTTTTTGGTGAATGAGTTGTAATTTTCAACATAATCATGTCTTACATGAATAGACAGTTTTGGTTCTACCTTTACAATCTTTAGAATTTTTTTTTTTATGTTACTATCACAGACCACTAGTATAATGTTAAGTGATGAGCATAGACATACTTGCATTATTCCCAATATCAGGGCAAAAGCATTAGGCTTTCACCATCAAATATATTAGCTGTTGTTTTTTTCATAGATACAGTATATCAGGCTGAGGAAGTTCCCATCTAATCCTAATTTGCTGAGAATTTGTATCATTCACTGGTTTTGAATTCTGTGAAATTCTTCCACGACATCTTTGAGATGATTGTTTTTATTTTAGTCTATTAATATAGATTATAGATTCAGTTGTTAAATCTTTGCTTTCCTGATAAACATCACTAGGTTATGATTTATGTGTTTACATATGTATATGGCTGGATTCAGTGTGCTAAAATTTTGTTAAGGTTTTTGTTGTATCTGTGATCATGTGGGTATTGGTCCATAGTGTTTTAATAGCATCATTCACTTAACTAGTTGGGAAGTGTTTGAATCTTGTTTTAGAAGAATTTCTGTGTAATTGGTACTGTTTCATCTTTAAATATTCTTTAAGAGTTTTTACATGTTCCAGGGATGACCTGGTAGCTGACAGCCACCAAGAAAACAGGAATATCAGCCCTACAACCACAAGGAACTGAAATTGCCTAATGACTCAAATGAACAGGAAACAGGGGCTTCCCTGGTGGCGCAGTGGTTGAGAGTCCGCCTGCTGATGCAGGGGACGCAGGTTCATGCCCCGGTCCGGGAGGATCCCACATGCCGTGGAGCAGCTAGGCCCGTGAGCCATGGCCACTGAGCCTGCGCATCAGGAGCCTGAGCTCCATGATGGGAGAGGCCACAGTGGTGAGAGGCCCGCGTACCTCAAAAAAAAGAAAAATGAGCAGGAAACAGAATTTCCTCCACTCCATGAAAAAAAAACACAACCCTGCCAACAACTTGAGTTTAGCACAGTGAACCCATCCCAGGTCTCAGTGGGCATATGACATATAGAACTATAATATAAATTTATGTTGTTTAAGCCATAAGTTTGTGGTAATTTTTTAGGACAGCAACAGAAAGCTAATACATCAACATTATTCATCAAGTACTTTTTTTTTTTTTTTTTTTGGCCATGCTACACAGCTTGTGGGATCTTAGTTCCCCGACCAGAGACTGAACACAGGCTACGGCAGTGAGAGCACTGAGTCCTCACCATTGGATCGCCAGGAAATTCCCTTCAAGTACTTCTTTACTTTCTAATGCAAGAATATTTCCTATGCTCGTGTTATACTTTTCCAGCTCCAACCTGGAAATAGCCTCTTATCTAAGGAGTTCTGGTTCTTTTTATTGAAATATCATATTCATAAGCCAATAACTGGACAATAAATATGCTCACAGCTGCTGGAATGCCACTTCTTTCTAGGCTGTCTCAGAAGAGATAGGGAATGTGTTCATATGTAAACATTTCTACATACGTTGTTTTTTATGTGTATTTAAATTTACAGAAATTTCACAAAATTGGATATTTATTTTTAAAATTTATTGATTTATCTATTTATTTTTGTCTGTGTTGGGTCTTTGTTGCTGTGCACAGTCTTTCTCTGGTTGTGGCAAGCAGGAGCTACTCTTCATTGTGTATTGCGGTGGCTTCTCTTGTTGCAGAGCATGGGCTCTAGGCATGCAGGCTTCAGTAATTGTGGCTTGTGGGCTCTAGAGCATGGGCTCTAGATCGCAGGCTCAATAATTGTGGTGCACGGGTTTAGTTGCTTCACAGCATGTGGGATCTACCCGGACCAGGGCTCGAACCTGTGTCCCCTGCATCGGCAGGTGGATTCTTAACCACTGTGCTACCAGGGAAGTCCCAAGACTGGATATTTAAAAGGGTCTTAAGACTCCAATAGCATACTCAGATAAGGCTTTTTTTACAGTCAAAGATAAGAGAAAGAGTACAATACCAAAAGTACAATCAATAAAAAACGAATGGGTAAATTGGATTTCATGAAAATTAAGAAATTCTACTCTAGGAAAGATAACGTTAAGAAATGAAAAGCAAAGCCACAGACTGTGAGGAAATATTGGTAAAGCATATATCAAATGAGTAACTTGCACCCAGAATATATTAAGAAATTACAAGACAGTTCCTTAATAGTAGGCAAAAAACTTTGAACAGATAATTCACTAAAGATATATGGATGGCAAATACACAGGGAGTCATTAGGGAAATGCAAATTAAAACCACAGTGAAATACTACTACATACCTACTAGAATGGCTAAAATGAATGGCCAGTGTCTTACATACAAAGGTCAGGAAGGATGTGAAGAAACTGGAAAGCGAATACACTCCAGGAAATGTGAGATGGCATAACCATTTAGAACACAAGGTAGCAAGTTCTTAAAAAGTTAAATATTTGCATCAACTTCCAGCATGGCAGTGTAAGGAGCTCTGCAAGCCCTGATTCCCAATGAAACTGGTGAAAAATTATAAAAACACCATCTAAAGCCTCTAGAAATGATCCTAAGTCTACACAGTAAATGAGGAAACATTTAAGGAAATCTAATACTCAGGACGAACAGCAAGAGCCAGTCACATCTGAACCAAGGCCACACCCTCTCTCCCTGCTTCGAACTCAGAGATGAAAACTCCAGACTGAGGCAGCCAAGAACACAGGGCTCCCTCTCATTAGAGCTGCCTGGCAGAGGACTAGCCTCTCAAGAGGAGCAGGATGTCAGCAATTCTCATCCTGCTCCAGTGTGCATGTTTGGATGAATGATATTCAATTGTTGGCTCACTCATAAAGGCTGCTTTCAGAGCTTCTATGTTTAAGTTAGGTTGACCAGGAGACAGCACATGCCCTGCACTCTTAAGGCCTTTCCCCAGTCTGAACTTTCTGGTGCCAAACAGGGTTAAGACTTTGGCTGCAAACTTTCTTCAGGTCCCCGTATTCATAAGGCCTGTTTGAGCTGTGCAGTTTCTGTTGCTGAATCAGAGTGGACCTTTGGTTAAAGACTTTTCCACATTAGCTGCATTCAAGACTTTTCTCCACTGTGAACTTTATGGTGTTGAATGAGGTTGAAACGCTGGCTAAATGATTTCCCACAACTGCTGCACTCATAGGGCATTTCTCCAGTGTGAATCCTCCGATGTTTAACAAGGCTGGAGCTGTGGCGGAACAATTTCCCACATTCCCTGCACTCATAAGGCCTTGCTCCAGTGTGAACCCTCTGGTGTTTAACGAGGCTAGAATTCTCACTAAATAATCTTCCACATTCATTGCACTTAAAAGGCTTTTCTCCAGTGTGAACTTTTCGGTGTTGCATGAGGCTAGAGCTTTGGCTAAAGAATTTCCCACATTCGCTGCACTCATAAGGCCTTTCTCCAGTGTGAACTCGCCAGTGATTAATAAGGCTTGATTTGTGGCTATAGAATTTCCCACACTCGCTGCACTTATAAGGCCGTTCTCCAGTGTGAACTCTCTGATGTTTCATGAGGCTTGAGTTAAAGCTAAAGAACTTCCCACATTCGCTGCACTCATAAGGCCTCACTCCAGTGTGGATTCTGTGATGCTGAACAAGTGTGGAATTATGCCTGAAAGCTTTTCCACATTCACTACATTTAAAAGGCTTTTCTCCAGTGTGAACTCTCCGGTGTTGAATGAGGTCAGCATTGCGACTAAAAGATTTTCCACATTCACTACACTGGTAAGGCCTTTCACCAGTGTGAACTATTTGGTGTATAAAAAGGTTGGATTTATGGCTAAATAATTTGCCACATTCGCTGCATTCATAAGGTTTTTCTCCAGTGTGTAGTCTCTGGTGCTGAACAAGTAAGTATTTCTGACCAAAGGCTTTCCCACACTCGCTGCATCTGTAATGCCTTTTTCCAGGGTGAAAGCCCTCCCCACTTTCAGTGCTCCTATGTGGCTCCCCTCTGCTGTGAGCCACCTGATGCTTGGGAAGACCAGAGCTAGTTGGGGAGACCTTCCCACCCTCCTCACCCTCTTCTCTTCTTGAGGGTTTCTCTCCAGAGCTCAGCTTCTGGTGTTGGTGAAGGTTTGCTCTGAGCACTCCCTCTACATAAACAGCCTGCTCAGGTGCCACGTCCTCAGCCTCCGCTCCACACCAACAACCTGAAAGCAGAGAAATGCTGATGAATAGTATGTAGACTTTGGCGGGATGGGGCAGCACCCTCACAAATGTGTCTGACACAGCCAGTATGGAGTCCCTGGGATTACTGGCAGGGTGAGGGAGAGCTCACTGTGCAGTGCCAGACATGACAACCTCATAGATCATGGGGACTCATGAGTAGCAAGGATACAAGATGGGGTGCATCCCAGGGAGGAAAGGCAGGGTCTCCAACACACTCCTCCTCAAATGGCTTTCAGCAGGGTTTCAGTTGCTGGTGACACAGGAACACAGTGCAGAAGGGTGTGTCCAGGCCCAGAAAAATGGAAGGCAATTGAGTAGCTGGTGTTCAAGGACTATTAAGGATATGTGTACACCTCATGACACATGGAGTGAAAGCTTGTATTGTGACCTGGAAAACTTCCCATTCTCCTGTTGCCTCAACAGCCCCACAAAAAAGCTGTAAACTATGCCACCATGTGCACCAGTGTGAGAAGGTGGGCCCCTGCCACAAGTTCTCTTACCTACCTTCCTGACTGAGACCCAGGGCCATTTAAACTCACAAGTGAAATCCCCTTGCACCTTCCCCCTGTTCCTCTCCTCAGTCCTAACCAGTGATGCTGCATCCCCTTCAGAGAAGTCCACCATGGCACTCTGTGAAGGTCGATGGTGCTGGCAACCACTTCTTCACTGCTGTCGCTCTTTGTCTCCTGATCCCATGGGTATTGGGGGCACCATTCCTGGAGATCAGTGGCTCAAGATCTTACAGGCCAGGATCTTAGCAGGAACATTTAATTCCAGCAACTCCCAATAACCAGAGGAGGTGATCCAATTATTTCAAAGTAAAACATCTTTGCAAAATTGCTGGGCTCTACTTAGTGCCACTGCCTATCAGCCTGCCAACTACTGCTCAGCTCCTGAGGTCTAAGAACGATCGGAAAAGATCTGGCCACCAGAGCTGCCTGAATGGATCCCAACCCAGCTGAAGTCACCTTAGAAAGAGAAGCTGCTGCCTACGAGAGGGGCTACATAAAGGAAGCATCCAAGGTCTTCTCAGACCCAGCGGCTCAAGAGCACAGGAGATCATAAGGAATTATAAGGTGAAACTTGCAATTTCACAAGACTAGAAATACCAATGATTCTTAAAGATTTCATTCAAAGAGGTGGGGAAAGGGAGCTGATTGGTTACTGAGAGCATTTAACATGGGTGCACATTCAGCCCCAGAGATGAGGCAGCTGCCAGCATTTGGAAAGAGGCTAAGATGCATAATTAAAGATATTTTGGCCCTCCAAGTTCAATTCTCACCTGATATTTTGGGGCTGAAGGACCTCAGGGAGGACAGAGGGCATCCCAAATGCCAGGGTAGGTGTGACAGAGACCAAAACTTTTGATGGGATTATATAGGCCTCAGATGAGGAATCTGAAGCCTCTACCACCACTTGGGACTCAGAAGCCCTGCCGTTAACTGAATTGGATTTTCATGGCCTGGAGATGCCCAATGGGAAACAGTAAAGGAAGCCCATGTGCTCCTCTGCAAAAACTGGAATGGTTCAATGGATCTATCAGTTCTTTGGGCATTCAGACAAGGAGAACCCTGAGCCCGTTTCTAAACCAGGAGGCCCTCTTTGTCACAGAGTCCAGGAGTTGTTCTTGCAGGTGCCCATCCCGATACAGAGCTTTGTTGCTTAACCTTATTTGTATATCTCACACCAAATGGGAGGCCACGGATGGAACTATCTCCAGACGTGCCATGAGAGCTCTGTGTACCCTGACTCACAAATTCTGATGTATCACATCCGCCGCCTGGTGTGTGGATAACCACCCCCCACGCCTAGCATTCTTTCCCGACTTGCTGACACCCCCTACTGCCTCCAGGCTGATAGTGGTAGAACTAGTCATGGCAAACACACTGCACCAGGTGTCAACAATCTTTATCAAACAGCTGCCCGTGATGGTGACCGCTGATGCTTTGAGTTTTCCTGTGAGAGACAGATGTGTATGACACCTCAACAAGCTCAAGTCCCTCTCACAAAGTGAGAACCTGTGGAGTTGCCCCTGCTGGTGAAGGTAGTAAACATGCCATAGTATCACCTGAAACAAGGTACTGGCCTTTGACTCGTTGTTCAAGATCTACTAAAAGAAGGGGAAATGATTCCTGCTATTTCTCCTTAATAGGAGTGGCACTTAACTGTTGATTATCGAAACCTTAAAGCTCAAGTTCCCCCCATCAGGGGTCCAACACCTAACATAATCCAATTAACTGAAGACATCAAGAGGGCACCAGTGACTACTTGGCCACAGTGGATCCGGCCCAGTATATTTTATTCTGGGCCTATGACCCCTTAATCACAGCCCCAGTTCGCCTTTACTTTTGAAGAAACCCAACATACATTTACAAAGTTGCCCGTGAGTTATTTAAACAGCCCAGCCCACAATTACTGCCAGGACGTGGACCAGGTCCCATCCTCACTCCAGTTCTTTATCCACCAGGTACCTCCCTTTTTCCATCAACCCAAGGATGCTGGGCAAAACAGGCAATTATCTATTCCCATCTTATTTTTTTATTTTTTTGGCTATGTCGTGTGGCATGCGGGATCTTAATTCCCCAACCAGGGATTGGGCCCATGCCCCCAGCAGCAGAAGTGTGGAGTCTTAACCACTGGACCACCAGGGAAGTCCCTATTTATTCCCATCTTATTCAGACTTGTGGTAGCCGCAGGAGACACCAGGTTTGGCACCAGTACAGCAGCCTTTGTCCAACAAGATCAGATCACGTCTGCCAACCAGCGCCTTTCAGCGGCCCTCTCAGATCACGTACAAAGGGTGCAGGAAACCTTCGCCCTTATTCAACAAACCTACAAGTCTCTGAGCCCAAATGGTCATGGATAACAGACTGGCTCCTGATTGTTTACTAGCCAGGAAAGGTGGCTCAGGAAAGCTACAGGCCAAGCTATGAGGATTAGGACAAGTGGTAAAAATCTTTTGTAACAGAACCAAAAGCTTCCAAAAGACTCCCTTAAACCCGGAGGTGCCTGATCTGTTCTCTTGCCTTTCCCCTACTACCTGCCGTGCTGGCTGCAGCCTGGGTTTCAAACCCTCATTATATATCTGGTAGGACCCTTCTTAGTTGTCACCTTTGTCAAATATTGCCTTTGGTGGCAAGAACAAACTATTCCTGTCACCTCTAACATCGCCACAACCCAGGTGGCAAGCGTCACCCATCCCAATGAGAGTTTATAACGATGTTGAGACACCACAGGGCCAACTATATTGCAACCTTTGAAGCTCCCTGTTTTCCTGCTCCCTCGGCATCCCCACAAAGAGGCTGTGAGCCTCCCCCCAGTGGCACCAGTGTGAGGAGGCTGGTCCCTGCCACAAGTTGCCCTTCTGGTCCTCCCCTGAGTGTGACCTAGTATGTTTAAATGCACCAATAAAATCCCCTCGTGTTGGGACTTCCCTGATGGTGTAGTGGTTAAGAATCTGTCTGCCAATTCAGGGGACATGGGTTCGAGCCCTTGTCTGGGAAGATCCCACATGCCACGGAGCAGCTAAGCCCATACACCACAGCTACTGGGCCTGCGCTCTAGAGCCTGCGAGCCACAACTACGGAGCCCGTATGCCACAACTACTGAAGCCCGTGTGCCTAGAGCCCGCACTCTACAACAAGAGAAGTCACCGCAATGAGAAACCCATGCACTGCAACAAAGAGCAGCCCCCACTCACCGCAACTAGAGAAAGCCCGCGCGCAGCAACAAAGACCCAACGCAGCCCCAAATAAATAAATAAATAAATCCCCTTGTGCCTTTTCTTGCATTCTCCCCCCAACCACCAACAGAGACATTTGCCAACAGATCCTCACCCTCTGCTTCCCCCCTGCTCATTTAGCCTGCTCCCTTGCGCTCCTCCCACGTGACCCCCCTCTTGGCGTGCAGTGACTGTCTCTCTGGACCTGTGAGCATAATAAACTTTGTTTTTTTCCTTAGGTTGTCCTGTGTTTCCTCTCGTGGCTGCATCTGCCTGGCCATGTCATAAAAGAGCACAAAATGGGTCTACTGTTGGTGAGCACTGGAGAGGGAGCAGTGGAGGATGGGTGGGGGACAGCCCTGGGTCAGAAACCAGAGCTGCCCTGAGCAGCGGGCAGAGCTGAGGAAGAAAAGGAGAAAATCAGCCTTGGCCCCTTGTTTGACACCAAAACATCAGGGCACCATGGAGAGACTCCTGGTATGATTTGAACCCATCCCTGAGTTCTCTCTTCCCCACTTCCTCCCTCCAAGCACCTCTTGGCGTGGCTGTGATCACGACTCCACAGGCAGGCACAAAGGGCTCTCCCCACTGCTCCAGCTGAGTAATTTCCTGGGTCCTGGAAAATGTGAGTCCTAAGGGAGGGACAAGGCAGGCAGGTCAAAACAACCCGCTCCACGGCAGCCCACAGGGATGAAGACTGAATATTACAAACAAGAAGCTTGGAGAAGGATCTTGCAGGAACAACCCAGTCAAGCAGTGGCCGTGTTGGTACCTCGATTCCTGGCACAGGCCGATCCCATGTCAGCCAAAGGGAGAGGGCAGAACTGGGGGCACAGGACTGCCATGGATCTCCACAGCATCAGGCCAGGGAAAGGCCAGTAGCGTGTGATCCATCGGTTGGACTACAACACTCCTGATCCCCAAACCCTTTCCTGCACAACTTTGGGGCAGCAGCAGCTTGGGGACAGAAGGGGTAGTGTACCCAGCCCAGGCTTTCACTCACAACACCTACTACAGCACACAGGGAAGGACGCAGTACCCATGGACCAGCTTTGGGAAGGACAGACCTGCCCTTGGAGAAGGGGAAGAGCAGAGCCCTGCCTAAGCTGTGGGGTGCAAGGAACTTACCCAGAGAGGCCATCAGTGAGAAGTTCTCCAGCATCACACTGCGGTACAGGAGTCTCTGGGCTTTATCAAGGAGCCCCCACTCCTCCTGTGAGAAGTAGACAGCCACATCCTCAAATGTCACTCGGCCCTGCCAAGATGGGGATGGTTCAGTTTATGTGCAGCCTCCTTCCCAGGACTCTAAGCATCTCCCCAGATATCCACCCTCCTCCCAAGCCACCAACCTCAGAGGAGATCCCAGGCCCTGGTGCCATTGATGCTCACCCTCTGCTGGCCATCCCATCAATCACTGTGTTCGGCCCTCATTGACAACAGGCAGGGGGGTATGTGTCATCTGAGCCCTGGTGCTGGCCTGCAGAGCCTCACCCTCCTGCCAGACAGCTTACCTGGGATCCTCTAGATTGTGCTTCCCAAACACAACCAAAACTGAGTCACTGTCCTCCCCTCAGGCCCCAGTCCAAGGGCCTGGGGCCATCAGTTGACACTCCCTCCCAACATGTATATCGTTCTTTTTTTTTTTTAAATATAAATTTATTTATTTATTTTTGGCTGTGTTGGGTCTTCTTTACTGCACGCAGGCTTTCTCTAGTTGTGGCGAGTGGGGGCTACTCTTCATTACGGTGCACGGGCTTCTTATTGCACTGGCTTCTCCTGTTGTGGAGCACAGGCTCTAGGCAAGAGGGCTTCAGTAGTTGTGGAACACAGGCTCAGTATTTGTGGCTTGAGGGCTCTAGAGCGCAGGCTCAGTAGTTGTAGCACACGGGCTTAGTTGCTCCACGGCATGTGGGATCTTCCCAGACCAGGGCTCAAACCCATGTCCCCTGCATTGGCAGGCAGATTTTTAACCACTGTACCACCAGGGAAGCCCTATACATTGTTCTTTACACCACACCTCCTTTCACAGCCCCAACCCCTCACGGCCACCACCACCCACTACACAACATCCTGCATCTCCCTGGCCTCACCACGTGCCAGTGTGCACGTGGCATCCTGAGGGTGCTTGGCAAGTGCAATCAGAATCCTACTGTCCCAGTGTTCCAAAGGCACTAACTGCCAGGGGCAACCCCCAGGCCTGCTTTGAAGGCCTCCTTACTTGGCCCTTATCCTTGCTTCATCATCAGCCACCCAAAACGATGCACAGATCTCAGGTACACTCAGCCCTCTTCCACTTCTGTGTTGCAAAGCTGTCCCCCATCAGTCTCAGCTTCCTCTGATACTTATTCAAAGCCCAGGTCCAGGGACTTCCCTGGTGGTCCAGTGGTTAAGACTCTGTGTTTCCAATGCAGGAGGCTTGGGTTCCATCCCTGGTCGGGGAACTAAGATCCCACATGTGCGCAGCGTGGCCAAAAAATTAAAAAAAAAAAAAAAGAACAAAAGCCCAGATCCACCTGTCTCTCACATCAGGCCTAATAGCTGTCCCAGAGGACACTGTGTGATCTTGTGCTAACCTCCAGGTCACAGTGGGGATAAGAACAAGTCTGGGGAGCCCATAGCTTGATGAATAAGCAATAGCACCAGGTTTGCTGTCATCTCCCTGCCTTGTCTCATAGCCACTCCCCATGGAAACCCTGGTCACCAGCCAGATCCTCCTCACTCCTACAACGCCTCCCTATGGCCACTATGTTCCCTCACATGTTTCTGTGAAGCCCACCACCTCATCTAGCAAGAGACCCAGTCCTCGGCCCCACACACTCCTCCCTTGTCACCTAACACACTGCCACAGGACCTGAAGGTGCCCCCTGCCAAATCTGATCACAGTTCCATCCTGGTCCACACACCATCCATATTGTGGGTGAATCCAATCTGAACTCAAGATGTGTGTGTCCAGGTATCCACTGGATGAATCCACTCAAGGGTTTTCTGGAGCATCTCAGTTCAACAGCCAGAACCTAGCTCCTAATATTCCCACTGAAAATTACTCTTGCCGCCGACTTCGACATGGTAGTACTAACCCTGCTTCTAGCTGCTAAGGCCAAACATCTCAGAGTCACCCGACTCTTCCTCTTCTCTCTCCCACCCTCCACATCAGAAAGTCTGCTCAGACCTACTTAAAAAAAACAGACACAGACTCCAACATGTCTCCCACCTCCACTGCCACTACTCTGGTCCAGCTACCAACACTCACCTGGACTATTGCAGTAGCCTCCTCCCTGGTCTCCCTGTAACCCAACAGTCTTCTCTCTACTCTGCAGCAGAAAATGCTTGTTAAGCCTGGGTCAGATCAGTTCCCTCCTCTGCTCCAAACCTTCTATGGCTCCCACCACCCTCCGGATAGAGGCCCACCTCTTCAGCCCACCATTCCAGGTCTAACGCCTGCTTCCTGCTATTTCCACCAGACATAATGGAGACCTAAGGTTGCCTGGTCATTCCCAGCTCAACCTCACCTCTAGCATCTTCTAATGTTGACCACTGTGAATGGAATTTCTTCTAAGCGTCATGCCACCGGTTGCCAGAAATGGAAACCAATCTGTATAATTCCTGGTCTGGACTCAGGGACCTGACCTTGGATGACCACCTTCCAGGGATCTCAGATGGCAGGGTAGGGAGAGTAGCAGGTAAAGTCCCAAGACACTACAATCCTGGAGCCCATGCAGGTGGGAGGTGAAAAGAGTGAAGACCGAGTATACCTTTCACTTACCTCTTCATGGTCTGCAAGTGATTCTGCAGCCACAACAACCTATGGAAAAGCAAGGCTGTGAGAAGCAGGCAATAATGTTGGGCCCAAAGGCTCAATCAAGGTGCCTTACACCATCTGGGCCTCAGTCCTCAGTGATGCCTCTTACCAGCTGTGCGACCTTGGACAAATACTCGACATCCCTGTGCCTCAGTGTTGTGGTCTGTCAAATGGGGATAACAATGGTGTCCACTCAGTGGGGCTGCTGTCTGCGTCAAATGCATTCATATGCAACAAGTTCTAAATATCAACTCTTACTGTCCTCATAAGTGATGCTTCTGTCAAGATTTCCTGGTAGGTATTAAAAATGCAGTTTTTTAACATGCCTTTTAACTAAGAAAATACAATATTGAAGATGTTTGATTTAATTGAATGCTTAGCAGTATATTGAAATTTCAACCAATTATTAAGTGTTTATAATCATTAACTTGTTAAAGCCATGTTATTTATTTGTTTTTTATATGTTATTTGTTATTTATTTTTTAATTGTTATTTAAAAGCCATGTTATTTTAATTTATGTACACACGTATATATGTATTTTTACCAGTTAGTGTTAAATGAGTATTTATTTCATAAACTCACGATTTAATAAACTGGGGACTTGGGCCTGAGAATATTGAGTAGATACTAGTCCTACTGGCAACCTAACTGCCTGCTGTACACTCTCCTGAAGGGAATCCTGCTAGGGGCATTTGCACTGGAGCAGCTGCTCATCCCTCCTGCCCTAAAAGCTGGGGGAACTTAGGCACCAAAGGAGATGCTCTACTAGCCTCGCTGAGTATTCTTTTTCTCCACAAGGAGTGGAAATGAGGGCCTGCTGAGCCTGGAGTGGCAAATCTACACCACTGAACATCTCAGTCTCCACCCCAGACCTGGGTCCTTATATCCTATAACCCTCCATTCCTGCACACACCAGCCAGAACCACTTTGGAGCACAGGACTCCACCCCTTTGGAGGCAGCCCCACCCTCCAGGCTTAACTGAAATAAAAACTTTGATTCTCCTTCCTAAATAGGACCCACAGTGCTTGCCCTGGTCCAGGCCACCACCCATCATCCCTTGGATATCTCCAGCCCAGATCCCTCCGCAGAAACCCATGAGTGAGTAAGCAAGTTACGCACATGACACCTCCACTCTGGGACATCTCAGGGTTACCATGTCCAAAATCCAACTCCCAGTCTTACCCCTGAAACCTGCTCCCTGCAAACCAAGAAACAGCATCGTCCTTCCTTCCCTACTTTTTCACAGCCACATCTGGGGCAGCAGGAAATCCTGTCTGTTCAGAGCTTAAAGCCCATAAGAAATCTGATCAATCCTCCCCGCTGTTGCCACCAGCAATGGTCCAGTCCGCACCAGCACTCTCTATTAGTCTATTGTGCTTACTTACTCACAGGTCTCCTAGTCTCCACTCTTATCACCCCCACCCCCGTCTGTTTTTCCCTGAGAAGCCTTTGGAAAACTTTGACACATAGAGTCTCTCTACTTCACAACCCTCCGTGGCCACCAGCGGCCGCAGAATGAAGGCCCAGCTGCTCCGGCTGCCTTTTCACGTGGGACTCATCCCCTTAAGCTGTTCCGTGCAGACTCTAGAGAAACTTCAAGTTTAAGCCTCTCAGTTCGGTTATTGTTCCAAGTCTTTGATTGTGCCGGTCCCTCTGCCTGTAACCCTCTCCCACACCCCATCATACTGGCTGACAGAAATGGGGGACCCCTCCCCCAACGAGCTCCCTACTGACTTGGACCCAGGGGCTCGAGCAGGGGACGATCAGTGGGGCCTTTGGTGTCCGGTGGGGTGAGGGCGGTGAGAGACCGGAGGACGAGTGTTTACCTGAGCCGGGACTCTAAGCGCTGCCGCAGCCATCGGAGTCTGTGGGCGGAGCCAGGCCGGGAGCGGCGGACCAGGTCGGGCCCCAGGCATCCCTGTCCCTTACCCAGAATCGGGTCACCTCCGGGCGCTGCTGCCCGAACGTCAGACCCGCCTCAGTGCAGTGCAGCGCCTGCCTCCTCTCGTGCCTTCCCGCTCTCGTCACCGCAGTTCAAAGCAGCTTTCCGGAGCCTCAGACAAGGCGGAGAGACCAAACAGACCCCAAAACGACCGCCCCTAAGCGGACGCCAAAAGTCCCGCCCAGCGTGTTCCTCTCGCGCGCGGAAATGTCTGTTTTCTTGGCCGAGCACAGCCACCGGGGACAGCAGCGCCTGCTGGGTAATGTAGTTCATACACCGCCAAACCTTGAGGAATTGGACACGTAATAGGGGCGGGGCGGGCACGCAGCTGTTTGCACGCGCCGTTACAGCGCGACCGTTACCGGGCAACCGTTACCGCCAGAACGCTAGGGGTGACTGTTAGCGCCAGACCTGAGCGGGGCGCCCAGGTTAGAGGTCCCGTTAGGCTAATGGTATGACTGGTGGTGGCCCTCCAGCGGAGAGTGTGGTAAGAGACGGATCCCGGACTCCCCCCACCCCAGGCCCTCTGGCCTTAGGCGGGTGGGTGAGCTGGGGGACCCTGGCGGGGAAGGCTGGGGGCTGTGTCCTGCAGAGCTCCAGAGCCCTTGCCAACGCCGCTCACTGGCGGGGCCCAGGCCTTGAGGCGACGGCAAACGTCTCCTCTCATCCCCCCCTCCGTGACCTAGTGGTGGCGGCCTCTGCATGGATCGCGGTTTGCAGAACCCTGCAGACATGCACACACACGTCTCACCACCCCGTTTGGGCAGCCTGAGGAGATCGAGGGCCAGTTGGGTCCTTGGTGCCTTGCTCCCCCAGTGATGACGACTGGGCAGGGTCTGTGGACTTGGCCCTAAAGGCACCGCCAGCTAAGATCTACCTCTTCACCTGACAGGGTAACTGGCCAGAGCAGGGACCCCCTTCTTTTAGCCAGCACCTGGACCTCAGAGGGTGAAACTTGTGCCTTAGGACCTTGCCCTTTCTTGTCAGAACAGAGGATAAGAAATACAGGCCAGTCTTCTTTGGTGGAGTTTTACAGGAACACCGTTACCTGACCTCAAGAACAAAGGATCTGATACTAAGAAGTTTGCAACAACTAACCGCGCCCCTCCCTCACCTTTCCTATAAAAGGTCTTTGCTGACAGCTTTCAGAGAGTTCGGGGTTTTTAAGGCATTAGTCACCCGTCTCCTTTCATCGCCCTGCAATACGCCTTTTTCTGCTCCAAACTCCGATGTTTTGATATTGTTTGGCCTCACTCTGCGTCAGGCACAAGGACTTGAGTTCAGTAACAGACAGAGCTGCAGAGATGGAGGCGGAGGGGAAATCAGGGTCAAGAACTCTGCCAGACTCTCATCTAGAGACTATCCTTATTGTAGATTGGCCTGTATTTTAATGTTCCTGCGCAGCTGGTGCTCCAGGCTTTCCTTCCCTTAAGGATTTAAAGAGGATCTTGAGGGCCAATAAAGCAGTTTCCTTGGAATGAGCCAGTTATACATTACCAATTTCCTTTGACAATGGGACGCCCAATATAAAAAACAATGGTGGTAAAGCGAAGACTCTGAGTTCTGGATGTAGGTGATGAGATAGTCGAGGATCCCAAGTGTTCACCTTCCTTCTTCACCCCAAACTCATCTGTGCCCTTTCCCTTCTTAAGGGCTCAGCATTGGTGTCCAAGCAGGACAATAAACCTCAAACCCATAAGCCAACATTCCTCTCCCACCAGATTTCTCCCCTTCATCCCTTATTACTCTTTTTGTTCCACTACCCTTCCATTTCGAGATACAAAGCTAACTCCCTGCAGGTGGGAAGGATTTTGGACCATTGTTGACACCAGGCAGCTGTTGATAAAAGAGATGCCAACACTTTATTATGTGTTCTCCTACCACCTACTTTACCACTGACTCCTTCTTTTGTGTCAATCTTCATTTCCCTGATTTTTCTCCTGTAAGTTTCATCTGTGGACTGATCAGTGACTAACCTCCTCACAGCTTTGGAATGACTCATGAGGGCAAAAGATGATGAAGACTTCACTCCTTCCTGGAACTTTCTGGAAGGGGGTGCTCAGTACTAGCTGATTCCATTGTATATATTCTTGCCTTCTTTGTCATAGATTAATTGACCATAAGTGCATGGGCCACCATCTTTTTCTTAATCACCAGTAAGCAGGGACTCAGGGGTTCTGTCACTGCGAAGGGCTCTATATAGGTCTGTTCAGTTTCAAGACCAGTCTCCTCAAGGAGGCATTCAGATTATCCCTGGGTCGCCAATGATGAGGTGAAAATTGTCCACTCAGGCAAAGCCTCCTGTGACCAATGCCTTGGCGAGTGGATCCTCACAAAGAGATGGTGTGTCAAACTGACAGTCCCAGCTCACCCATATTTATAGCACATTATCTCCAAGACCAGATATTCATTTTGGGAGGGGGAGAGTTTCTAATGCCAACTGTGTCACCTCAGGTCAGCTTGGCAGGAGATCCCCAAAATGTCTGCCTCTTCTTATCAGCATGCATGGATCAGTCGTGGCTTAGTTACAGCAATGACTGAAAGTGAAGCCTCAGAAAAAAAAAAAAAAGTGAAGGCTCCTAAGACATGGAGTCAGCCTCCAGACAAGGCTTTATTTCATGCTTGATGGAACTGACACACATACCTCAAAAGGCTCCTTCCAATTGTATAATTTATACACACATCACATCAGAAATCACACACATCACAAAAGGAGTCAATATTGGAGTTAAGAACATAGGATGATAGAAACCCAAGTTACATTAGTTATTTAGATCAGACCACAATGTGGCATGTAAATGGGAGGGAGGAGATTCAGGAGAGATAGTCCCACTGACAAGTGTGAGATGAGGTGCAGATAAATTCCCCTATTAAGCCAAGCACAGAAGATATGTGTCATTTTCTTGAAATCACATCTTAGAAGAGTAGATTCTGGATTATTCACCCTATCAATTACTGATGAGCTGTGGAAATGAGCTGACCACCATATCATGAATCTCTGTGGATAAATCTAACAAACATGTTACAGAATCTAGTCAGAAAAATGCATACATGGGCTTCCCTGGTGGCGCAGTTGTTGAGAGTCCACCTGCCAATGCAGGGGACACGGGTTCATGCCCTGGTCCGGGAGGATCCCATATGCCATGGAGTGGCTGGGCCCGTGAGCCATGGCCGTTGGGCCTGCGCGTCCAGAGCCTGTGCTCCGCAGCGGGAGAGGCCACAGCTGTGAGAGGACTGCGCATCGCCAAAAAAAAAAAAAAAAAAAAGCATACACTATGATACAATCTATGGAAAATTCAGAATTTGACAATAAAAGACAGTCTATCGTTTAGGGAAGTATAGAATAGATAAGCAGTAAAACTATAAAGCCATCAAAAGAATGATTATCAAGATGTCAGGTGTGGGGACTTCCTTGGTGGTCCAGTGGTGAAGTCTCCATACTTCCACTGCAGGGGTCGCAGGTTAGATCCCTGGTTGGGGAACTAAGATCCCACATGCCATGCGTTGTGGCCAAAAAATTAAAAAAAAGAAAATGTCAGGTGAGCTCTAGGGGCCCAGAAGAACATGTAAATGTAACAAGGGACAGGGGATGCCTAAAAAAAATTACACGAGGTGAGTTTTATAGGTGTGGTCTTTGTAAAAGAAAGAAACAATTTATACATCTCATATGAACATCCCACTGAATGTATGACAGTTTTTAAAATTATAAAAGCTAGGTAGACAGTTTGTTTATTTTTATTTTTTTGCATTTAAAAAAATTTATTTTTTAAAATTTATTTTTGGCTGCATTTGGGTCTTCATTGATGTGCGTGGGCTTTCTCTAGTTGCGGCAAGTGGGGACTACTCTTCTTTGTGGTGCACGGGCTTCTCATTGCAGTGGCTTCTCTTGTTGTGGAGCACGGGCTGTAGGCACGAGGGCTTCAGTAGTTGTGGTGCATGGGCTCAGTAGTTGTGGCACACGGGTTTAGTTGCTCCGCAGCATGTGGGATCTTCCTGGACCAGGGCTCGAACTGTGTCCCCTGCATTGGCAGGCGTATCCTTAACCACTGCACCACCAGGGAAGTCCCTATTTTTTTGTATTTTTAAAGTTTACTTTATCTGTTTATACACAACCTTGTTCCAGAAATTGTTTAAGGTGGCTTAAAATCCACAAAATAAACCAAGGAAATAGTAACAGAAGAACCAGGAATAAAACATGTACAAAATGCTTATACAATTCTACTCGTTTACTCTGGGTGGACCACAAATTTGGCTCTAAGCTTTTTAGCAGGCAGTTAGAAGACGAAACTTAATTAGTTACATCATTTACAGTGTCCATAAAACAAAAACACCCAATTACCCAAGCAAAGCACTGTTATTCCTAATATTAAGACCAGAAAGAAATTTCTCAAGAGGCTTCATAAAGAGATCAGTGTATGATGTAATAATCAGTGTTCTCAGTAGCAACCTAATGGGAGACTCAGAGATGAACTTCTCAGGGCTCTTTCTTCAATACATGCAGATGGCATCACACCAACTTGAAAATCAGGAAAAGCAATTTTGTCATGAGTTTGAGGGTTGAGAGATGAACACAATATGATCCGGTCAAGGTACTCAGCTCTCTGCTTAGCAAAACCACACTTAAATTTTAGAAAACCAGAGTTGAATCCAGTACCCAGAATGACTCCAGAGAAGTCATGAAAACCCTAAAATTCTGTGTAACATTTTTTTTCTTTTTGGCTACACCGCGACTTGTGGGATCTTAGCTCTCCAACCAGGGATTGAACCTGGGCCCAGGGCAGTGAAAGCACAGACTCCTAACCACTGGACCACCAGGGACTCCCCTATACAACCTCTTCAGAATAGGTGTATTTATTCTTCTTGACAGAAAACATAGTTTATCAGATACTCTATGTACCCAGTTGGTACCCAAAAGTTAGGACCCATTTCTTTAGACAATCTTGAGGATTAAACAAACTACAAATCATTAATACTATTCAGATACTTTTTTTTTTAAATCACAGCCTAGCTTTTTCTCCCCTCTGCAAAAGAACATTCTTTGTTTCTATTTGGCACCACGGCTCAGGTGAAGGTTTCAGGGTGGTTAAAAACTTGCTTCCTGGCTGAAGGAAGAGGCTCGGGCAGAGATCTCGAGGAGGGCAGAGGCAGAGGGGTCCCGCAGAGGCCGCTGGGCTCCGGAG